AAAACATATATATATATATATATATATATATATGGTAAAGGATGCAAATGGATTCATTATTGATTATATGAAGGCATTTTGGATGAGGGGAAGGGAAAGCTTCTCCAGTGCTTATTTATGTGGAAGAATTCCTCTTCGCATTCCAGGGATCTTCAACACTCCAGCAGTAGTATTACAGTCAACAGCACCCTCAGCTGTTTACTTGATAGAAATTATATTTTGATATCCAGATCATTTTTATCTCCATAAACATTGCCCCCAAATAAGCAACAGAAACACAGATATAAACCATTTTTATATATGTCATTGCATTAGACTGATACAAATGCCATTTGTGTGCATTAAACCGTTACTAAACCCTGTTATTTAATAGTAAAATATCCTCAAGCTCTCTCTCTGCTTAAATACTTTCAGCAAAAAGGGAGGGCAGGGGGAGGGGAGATTTGGGTGGGGGAGGGGCTGTGCATGTGGGCTGTTGTCACAGGGACAGAGGGAGGTAGTGCAGTTGGATAGAAGAAAAAAAGAAGAGGCAAGAGACAAAAAAAAGAGTGTGAGGGGCATGGCAGCGTAAAGCTTGGAATTTACTTATAACTGCTACAATGCAATGAAGATTGAAGGAGAGGGACTGGTATGTTTCTTAATGCATGTGAAATACCATGACTGTATTTATCAGTTTATATTTTAAAATCACTCTGTCTTCATCTCTGCCTCTCATGAGCTGTTTAAATCCAAGTTAATAGCTTTTGCATGAGATGCTAAAGTTTGCATGTTAAAGATAATGAGAGGAGAAAAATCCTTTTGGTTGCACATGCATTTTGTATTTAAACATCATAATGTCACATTTACTGTTTGTTCCTATTGGTTTGTGTGGTTAGTGTTGGTATGTGAAATTTTAAGATGGTGAAATGTTTATTTTAAGAAAGTGCAAGGTGGAGTAATAATTTTTGTGGTTAGTGTTGGTATGTGAAATTTTAAGATGGTGAAATGTTTATTTTAAGAAAGTGCAAGGCTTTCTTTCTTTCTTTCTTTCTTTCTTTCTTTCTTTCTTTCAGGTATCTGTGTTTATGAGCTATGGTGGAAAGATTTTTGCACACCAATAGCATATACAATCAACTCACAAAAATAACGCGCTGATACAGAATTTCGGTTAAAACAGCATGGTGAGTAAATGCACTTTGTAAAACATGCATTATTATAAGATGTGTGTAAATGTTGGATATGATTCTGCTGGAAATTATGTATTCATCAGTAGCCAGAGAGAGTAATGATTTTACCAGCTGTTTCTTTGCTCTCATCTCATGAGCCTTTTCACAATCATAGGGAGAATAAGAAGTTACTTATAAAAAATACTTTATATTGTGTTTATATTTAAATTTTGAGCTACACGGTGGCCAGCCTCTAAGCAAAGATAATTTGTAGTTCAAAGAATTATGCAATATTATGAGTAATTGATTTAGCATTGCAGATCTTTGGCCATGTGCAAAGTCTTCTTATGATGTCCAACCTGGAGTGTGTGTGTGTGTGTGTGTATTTAGCATTGCAGACCTTTAGCCATGTGTTAAAAAAAGTCTTCTAATGATGTCCAACCTGAAGTGTGTACGTGTGTACGAGTGTGTAAAGGATGTGCTTTGTAAATAGATCCCAGGCTGAATTCTTAGCATTCCGGGTGCAGCCATATTTATGGACGGGATCCTGTCTCTTCAGTGGAAGTCTTAAGAAGTGTGTGAATTGGAGGGAAGCAACATAAAGATATAAATACAAAGATAAAGCAGATTCATATATAGAAACAGGCATTTGACTGGTTTTCGGCATTAGATATTTTTAAATGAACAAGAGTGTTTGTGTATAGCAAGGATTTGTTGGGATTAGCAAGGAATCTCAGCTCTCTAGATCTCTGGTGAATAATGTTCATTTATATTTGTTTAAAATGCTCTTAAACTCTTAGTGTGCTATCAGTCTCCTACCCTCTCTAGAACTTTGTTTTAATCTGTTGATTCTAATCTGCCTTCATCTTCCAGAAGGCACATGAAAAAAGAAACAGATGTACACACAAACACATATAAATATAACTGGTTGTAAATCCAGCATTCAATCGCTCATTTAATTTGTACTACACTCATCAAAATGTGTGAGGATGATGAGTGCAACGTTACTGAGATTGCATTGGTGCATGGTGAAACAATGCACAAGATAGCTAAAGGAGGTATTTAAATGGTCGGTTTACTCAGAAATAAAAATTCTGTCATCATTTATTGAGTGAATGACTGAATGATGAATAATTTTTGATTAAGCTGTCCCTTTAAAATCTATCTTGTGTATTATTTCTCGATGATAACTAAAAAGAAATAGTAAAATGTTCAGGTTTTTTTTAAGTTGTTCTTCAACAAGGAATAAATAGTAATAGAAACATGCAGAACTTTCTAATTATTCATTTTAAATACCTCCTCCAACTATCTTGTGCATTATTTTTCAGAAATGAATAAAAAGTAATAGTAACATGATGCACATTTTCAGAATTTAATTTTTGGGTGTCCCTTTAAATAACTCCTCTATCCATCTCAACAATAAATAAAAAATAATATAGCTAGTAGTAACACCATGCAGAATTTTCTGAATTTTCATTTTTTGAGTAAACTTCCCCTTTAAATATTTTTGCATTATTTTTCAATGATGAATAAAATAGTAAAATCATGCAGAAGTTTTATTTTTGGGTAAACTGTCCCTTTAAATACATCTTTTTCTATCTTTTGAATTATTCATTAAGGAGGAATGAAAATTAATAGTAAAATTGTGCAGAATTTTCTGAATTTTAATTTTTTGGTGATGTATCCCTTTTAATATTTCCTTTGTTTTGCATTATTTCTCAACAAGGAATAAAAAAAAAGTAACATCATGTAGAATTTTCTGGATTTCATTTTTGTGTGAACTATCCCTTTAACACAGATCACATTAAATATTCTTTTAGCATACAGTATGTGAAAAACCTGTCTTTATTATTTTGGTTTTCCAGGTGTGGCAATGATGCAGTGGTCATCTGAGTGGGCGGAGCAACACTATGATGTCTCCTCCACCACATCACCCCCAGTTCACCCTAAGCCCCTCCCCTTTCCACAGCCCAGTCGTCCTGCGTTCTCAGGCTACACCGACGACATCAGTGCCCTCAGTGCCTCTAGCTTGCTAAAACGCTATGCCGAGAGGTATTCCTTCAACTCGGCTTTACCAGAACATGGGAGTTTCCTAAGAAGTGAGCAGCACCAGGAGCCATGGCCTGGGGGGTACAGCACAGACGGGCCTCCTGGTTTAGACCCATTGAAGGGGAGCGCAAGTGATCTCTCAGAACAACAGTACAGCGGCGGTCCCACATCTCAGGATTACCCATCATCCTACAGCAGCCAACACCTGCTGCCTAAACCATCCTATCTTCCGTCGCCAGCGTTTGCCTTGCCGTCTGCATACCTGCCACCTGCACCAGGCTACGCTTATCCCCAGCAATGCGGTCTGAGTGCTAGTTACCCTCATAGCACCCCTTCTCTGCTGCCCTCGGGTCTACACACCCCCACACCTCTTCACAGCAGCCACGCTGCTGCCGAACTCCCACGCAACAGGAAGTTTGGCTTCGACCAGTCCAAAACTGCCCGAGTGTCACCATACTCAATCAGGGACAAGACCGAACGGCAGAACAGCGACAGTGGTGGGAATGTCAATGAAAGTTGTGGGACGGACCTCCAGAGCTACAGGCCCGATAGACTTTCCACTCAGTCCGATCTTGAGGCAGATTCTGTGGGTAAGACCAGTAATCTTCAGCCTCTGGAGACACGGCCTTATGGAGGCCCAGGACAGTACACATGTCCCTGAGTCTACTTAATGTATTCCAACGATCCTTTTTTATACATGTTTATAGCAATACTTGAACCTAACAAACATCAGGGCAAATATAATTATGGTATAAAACCATTTACGGACTGAGAAGATAGATGTCTCTCTTATGCACGTTAGCATTAATTCTGACTGCAGCTTTAATGAGACCTGTAGCACAGACACCCTTTTGTATCCCTGAAATCACTCTTTCTTTTTTTATTCTCTTCCTTTCCTCTTTTACTCTCTCTCTCTCTATAATTATGTTGTGCAGTAAAGCACATTATGGTGGCAAGTACTAATCCACTGCTTCAATCAATGAAATCCAAGCCAAAGAAAGACTCAAAGAGAGGAATTTAAAAGAAAAGAGAAATAATTTTTTTTTAATACACAAAAATGAAGACTGTATTGTAAGTCAGAGCACACATATGAAAGTTTCATATGTCATGTGTAATGTAGAGTTTTCATACATTTTGTTGGCGAGCATGTGTTAGTGGTAAGGTGTTCTTCAACACTGAAATCAGACAAAAACTTTTAGGAATATAAGGTAAGGTTCCTCTATAAACTTTAAATGTAAAGTTGATTTCCCTCAGGAATTGTGAACGAAGCCATACTTAATGTTTATCTTATACAGTTTTTGAGTTTAGTTAGTGTAGTTTCTTTGCCATGTCTTTCATTAAAATAATAAAAAATGTATTTGTAACCTTACAGTATTTCAATGATAAAAATGCAAAGCATATTTTTACAGGACACATAATATATCTGGCTTCCACAGGGCTACTGCAAAAAGGCTAAAAGGCTCTTCGCAGTCTTTTCCACTATTCACCGATTGTGACGTTTACTATGGAAACCCACAGAGCTGTCCCAGCCCCCTGAGTTGATCACTGGATGTGTTTTCCTCTGACCCTCTGACCCTTCTCTGTTTTAAATGAGGCTTGTGAAAGAATAGAGAGCTTTTGTTATGGTGAGGCAAGAGGGACATACACTGAAATGTACAAACCGAAATGAAAATGACAGTCTAGTTAATATTTACATTTAAATTTTATGTTACTTTTACACTTACAAATGCAATATACTGGACAAAATCATATGACTTAATACATGTACAATATGATCTACCTCACTGTTACAATGCTGTATGTTCAGAGTATGCAATTGTGTATTACATGTCAAAATGTCTACCTCAAGGAAAAAATACACAAAATAAAAACTATTGTACGAATACACCATTTGCTCTCTTTGTGTGTGTGTGTGTGTGTGTGTGTGTATTTGGCATAAAAACTGAGACATTGCCTATGATAGGACTGTAAAGTTGTTGTCAATTATATTACTACAGTTTAAAATAACTGGTCTTTATATTAATGTATTTTAAAATGTAATTTATTCCTGTGATGGCAAAGCTGGATTTTCAGCAGCCATTATTCTTTTTGTGGAAACCATGACAGAATTTTCAGAATTCTTTAATGAATAGAAATTTCAAAAGAACAGCATTTGTTTGAAAATCTTTTTTTTTGTAACAATGTAAAAGCCTTCGTTTTTTTTATTAACTTTACTAAATAAATGTATTATTAATTTATTTTAAAATGAACATATTTTGTTTATATATTTAAAAAAAATAGTAATGTTTGCAGTCTTATTGAAATACACAGTGGTTTCATTATTCCACAACCTGCTTCCGGCTTTTACAGGCTTTACAGTAAACAGTATTTATGCTTGACTATGCTTTAGCACTGTACTTCCATAAGGGCCAGATGCACAGCTGGTGCCGTCAGGTCACCTTGTACCCTGTCCAGGATGACATTCACGTATCATGGTCTTTAACTCCCAACAGAAATCACAACCTTACGGCTGTGCAGATGTATAAGCTCTTTAATCACTTGATCTTTCAAGGAAAAGGTCAAGGTGATTTTGTGTTCTTTTTCTTCTCTTTTTATATTTTTAATACCAATCCTTAATTGAAGAACAATTTTATACAGTTATAATACAGTATTATTATTTGTGTGTTGCCCTCTAGTGGCAAACCCTTTAACCAAATATTTTATACACCCTTAAAGGAGACATATTATGCCCCTTTTTACAATATGTAATATAAGTCTCTGGTGTCTCCAAAATGTGTTTGTGAAATTTCAGCTCAAAATACTCCACAGATCATTTATTACAGAGCTGCGCCATTACAGCTCGTACCTGCTAAAAACATCTGTTTTGGTTCAGATTATCATGTATATCGCACTGAAATCGTGTTTTAAACCATATGAGTTTAAACTTCTGATATACGTTTTTCTGAGAGAACACATCATCCGAAGCACACGGACAGAAAGCGGCTGTCACAGCATGTGAGTACTAAACTAAGTTCTCATTCACACACAAGTTTACGTTAAAAACACAACTGAGTTACAAAAAACAGTCGGTTATGTCTGTGAAGGTAAACAGCTGGGAAATAAATCGCATGTTTATTTTAGATCTGTGTGACAGCAGCAATATACAGTAAATAACTCAATAAATCCACTGCTCTCTTGTCTCCTCTGAAGCTGGGACTCTAAATAGTGTTCTGTGCTCGTCTGTGCAGACAAAGACAGAACAGTTAGTATGTTTTGCTCAAATGTTCGCCATGGCATTAGAGCTGGTACACCGTTGTCGCTTGCGAAAACACAATAATGGCGCCTTGGGTGTAAACTTACAGATTAAGGGGCGGTAATATTATAATGAGATCCCTTTGCCACGTCACCAAGGGAGCGAAATCAGACGCACTCCTTTTCTCAGACGCTTGCAGAAAAAGACTTACCAAAACAAAGTTACTGGGTTCATCTTTTTCCCGTTTCCTTGGTTGGTAGATGCACCGGGGACCTGATTAGCACTTAAAACCTGGAAAAGTCAGATTTTCATGATATGTCACCTTTAAACAATTCTTACTATAATTATTTTTAATAGTTTTCACATTCTACTCATTTTGGATGACCTTACCACTCTTAAACTAAACGCTAAACACAGAGGCTGACTTTTGACTCTCCACTTCTTCCTTGTGACCCCCCACCCAAAACAGCTCCCTGCAGTCAATGTGCAGCAGAGCGTGACAGATGCTCTATTCTCTCCGTCCACCCCCACCTCCCAGCACACACAGCCCTCAGCGCTTTGTTTTTCATAAGTTTCAATACTGTCCTCGCCTCAGTGTGAGCCGTTTAATCTTAGACTGATGAATTGGGTCTTTCATCTTTGTGCAGCCTAAGACCATTTTTTGTGATTGGTTCTTGGTCTACACATTGAAGTGACCCATGTTTTATTTTTGTCTCTCACACATTCTGATTTAGATCAATCCATATTGATAAGTGACTAAATCTTTCCATCTACAATTCTTTTCTGATAACATCTAAATCTTTCCCGGCACTTCATATACTCTCTTTTATATAACACGATTAAAAAATAATCTACCATGTATCCTTATACTACGCAAACAGTGATAAATGGGGCATATGTGAAGGTGGACATCTGGATGTAACATATAGAGAATGACACATTATTTAGTAACTACAGAAGCTTTGTACATGTTACTGTTTGTGTTATTTGTCTCCTGAAGATAATTTTCACCCACAGTTGCTCTCCTAACACATTTAAAATGATAATTCACAAATAAATTAAAATTCTGTTATTTACTCACTGTCTTGTCACTCCAATGCATTTTTTTTCTTTGGTGGAACACAAAAGAAGATAAACATTTAAAGTTACCGTGTATCCCCAAATGTTTCCCAACCCTTTCAATAAGGCCCAAACATCCTTTCAATAAAACAAATGATGATCTTCTGTTTTTTAGTCACATATTCAAGATCATTAATCGGGTGTGGTGCTGGGTAAAGAGCACCATAGTGATTAAAAACTAGACTAGTCCCTAGTGGTTTGGTAAATGTTAGTTATTTAGTCTAATTAAAGACATTTCACATCATAGTACCACAAAATGTGATACCTGCACTTTTAGTCAGGCTATGTCTCTCTCTCTTTTGTAACCACCAATTGGATGTAAGGACATGGACTTTTGTTTTTAGTGATCCTTTGTCTGGCTCACAGTTTAAAGGGGTGGAGTGGAGGAATGCTGTTCAACAGCCAACACAGCCTTCAATTCATCATGATAAGAACACAGCAAGGAAACATACACAACCCCTTAATGACACCTAGACCAGAAACCTTAGGAAGTGTTTGTCAGCACTCCTTACAAAGTCAATGTTGCGTGAACCCACCTACACCACAGAACAGTGATTCCCAAACAGAGGATGTGTGCCTCAACAGACTTCATCTGGATGTAGGGGGTACTTTTAGATTATAATGTGGTTTTCAATGTAACATTTCTCTAAAATGAGTAGATTATCATTTTCCTCATCCTTATCTTAGGCACATAGACTTTTAACACTATTGTCTTTAACTCTGCCTTTAACCCCGACTAATAGTTTTACATTTTTATATTTATTTATTATTTTTGCGCATTATGGGTATTTAGTATTTTTGCACAATAGTGAGAGCTTTAAAATGTCTTTCAGTTGTTTAGCAACAACCAATCATTAACTGAACCGCCCTTTACGCAAGGGGTCATAAACTGAGAAATCAAAATTCCCTTGATGTTTTGACATATAGCCTACTGTGGTATAAAAACATCCTGTTTCAGAACTCAAAACTTTCTTGTTAGTCTAAAAACAGCTTATATTGAAGCCAGTCTGCCAAAACGATAGCTTGTGGAATGTACCACTCTATTACGTAATAGTGTGGCTAAACGCCGCCTCCGCAGAAGAAGATCAACGCCTGTTTCTACATCGCTGCCTGTTTAGCCCCACCCACCGATTCATGTAATGTAGTATAAAGGGGCGGTTACACTGCACTTTTCATTCAGTTAACTTCCATTCATATGCATGCGAATGCGTCAGACTGGAAACTCAAGCTTGTGTGAAAAATTTCGCATTTAGCTGCTTCCAAAGTTCAAGCTTGGTGAACTCTGACCTGTGAATTGACATAACGTGAAACAGTGTGACCAACAGCAGATCAATAAGTCACAGCATGACCTCGTAGCTGAATTTAAAGAACATACATTTAAAACTGCAGTGCTGCAGGAAAGTGCAGTAGATTTGTGTTTTTACATTTTAGATATGTTATTACTTTTGTTGAATTTCAGTTTTTTAAAAGATGCTGCATAGCATTAAGTCATATCACAACCGTTGCATCATAGAAGAAATTTCGCCTCTTATAATGAAAATTCAAAGCTGTTATCTGCTGAATATGAATGCAAAATTCTTCATTCATAAGCAAAATG